TTATTAATGGAAATGGGAATGGAGACATTTATTTGGATATGGTGAAAATACCATCAATCCGCTTATCACTGAAAGTATTGAAAACAAAATCGAATAGGAAGGAAACTCTATACCTGATGAGGTTGAAATATATTTCCAGCAAGACGGCGCTCCTCCTCACTATGTTCTTCCGGTTCGACAATGGCTAGACGACGAGTTTCCAGATAAATGGATAGGGCGAAGAGGGCTTATAGAATCGCCTGCTATATCTCCTGATTTGACGCTATTAGACTTTTTTATATGGGGCCATTTGAAATTTATTGTTTGTTTCCCCAGCCTGAAACTTTTTACGAACTTGTTGAAATAAAAGGTGATAGTTTAGTGTGTTTTCGTTTTATATATGAACAAATTAAGATAAATGAAGATTTTTCTAATTTTCTCGAATACGAATCGATCGATTTTAAAAAATCAAATATCAAAATAAAGGACTTCAAAGACCTTTCGAACAAGCTGTTACTCGAAAGGGGTGAAGCAGTTTTTTGGCTAAAAGATTGCCCTCCTAGACAAATCTTTTGAAATCAGTGGTTTTCGGTAAATCCGTGGTAGGAAGTTTTCAAATAATAAAATAATATAATAATAATAATAATATATATTTATTCGCCAAAATACAAAAAATGGGCAAAAATATGAAAAAACCACAGAAGACATCGCCTGTGTGTGGTTTATATCTTAATAACTAACAATCAATCAATATATGTGTATAACAATTATTGTTAAATCTAAAAGGTATTAATGTAATTGGAATTTTGTAGTTTTAGTTTTCTATATAATATGTATCATTCGCTGCACATTACTAACCCAGTCTTTCAATTTTCTTCTAATTTTTTTCCAAAATTAAGTATCTTTATTTCGTTTGGTATACATTATATAATTTAGCCTAAGAATTTAAATGATTTTTTGAATAATGTTTTGTGTGGTCTTTGGATATTAGATGAGCCTATTCGAAATCGTGTGTTATGCTCGTGTTTATAGGATTTTTTCTTTTTATTACAATACTATGGTATAAGGTGGTGGCATGTAAGAATAAAGTTGTCTTGTATCAGTATCCCTGTTTCTTGATATAAGTTGTTCGTTGGATATAATCTTGGCTTATGGAAAATGGCTTTCAAAACAGTTTTTTGTGCTATATTCAGGTCAGAAATATATGTCTTGCAGGCTGTGATGCCGTATATTATATGGGTTTCAACTAAGGCATGGTATAGGATTCGCAGATAACTTTCTAAGAATGTTAGCAAGCATTTTGAGTTTATAGGCAACATTTCTAATTTTTTTGATAACATATTTAATATGGTTATCCCACCTTAGATGTGAGTCTATAAATATTCCAAGATATTTCAAAGTGTTAACTCTATCGATTTTGGTCTTTTGGCCATGATAATTACGGAAATTTGTTCGAAGGTAGGTGAAAATTTTGAATAGGATGTAAATGCAATAAATTTTGTTTTTTTGAAGTTAACTGTTAAAATTTTAGTATCAAACCAGTCAATGATCCTTATAAAATCCTTTTCAGCTATTTGCTTCAGTGTGCTCCAGTCATCAGCTTTATATAATACGAGGGTGTCATCTGCAAAACATATAATCTTTCCAGAACTGTTAATTTTGAATAAGTCATTTAAGTAAAGACTAAATAATAGTGGGCCTAGTACTGTTCCTTGAGGCACACCACACTTGATGTACATTTTTTTACTGTAAGTGTTAGTGATTTTGACAGTCTGTGCCCGACTTGAAAGGTAATTTTTTAAAAGGATTTGTGACGCTCCCCTAAATCCCAATCTTTCCATAACTTTCAGAAGCTCGACATGGTTAACCGTATCAAAGGCATTTTTTAGATCAACAAAGATACCAATAGTAGGTATCTTTTTGTTGACATTAGAGTTAATTTCATCCATTGCAGCCAAAATTGCATCTGTAGTGGATTTTCCTTTTCTAAATCCATATTGGTCAGAACATATAATTTTGTTTTTGTCCAAAAAATTGTAATATCCTTTTTTGTAGTAATTTTTCGAAAATTTTGGCTATATTCGATAGTACTGATATGGGTCTATAATTTGATGTTTCCATTCTGTCACCGCTTTATAAACAGGAGTAATAACAGTTGTTTTAAATCCATCAGGACAAATTCCAGATTGGAAACACCAATTATGACGTAAGAAAGTGGGTTCGGCTAAGTCGTAGGCTATTATTTTTAAATGCTCAGCTTTGATACCATCCACACCAGGACTTTTTTTGGTTTTAAGTGATAGGACAGCTTCTTGTACTTCAATCGGACTAACGCTTTCTAAAAAGAATGAATTGGGAAGTTGGGGTTTTTGTGAACTTTTCGTTCGAAACCATTTTTTTAATACTGGATGCTAAATTTTCTCCAACATTAGTGAAAAAATTTAAGAATGCATCGGATATTTGTCGTTTATCTGTTAATATTGTTCCATCACGATTCTTAATTTCATCAATATTTGGCTTTTTCTTGACGTCTTTGTTAGTTAAGTGATCGACAACTGACCACAGTTTTCTTGGATCAGATTTGGCATCTTGTAATTTTTTTAGATAGAATTGGCGTTTTGCTTCTCTAACTAGATTGATAAAATATTTTTATATTCTTTATATTTATGGGATCAAACCTTTAGTTATCCTGGGATTCCTGTTTCTGTCAAAATGTTTAATTTTAACTCTGTTTGTACTACATTCAATTAAATATTTTATGTCGTTCAATGAGTGGTGTTTGCAGCATCATTAACATTCGTTGCACAGTACACTGCTGTCCACGATTCTAATTTGATATTTGCAAGTAGTTTTTTATTATCGACAAAACACCTAAATTTCACTGTTTCATTATGGAGATGGATCTACTTTAATTTTTTTCTGGTGATGATATAAGTATTACAGTGGGTAAATGATCGGTAATATGGTTTTCAACAACTAACGGTATGTACCGAAAGAAATTTGAAAAATTTTTGATGAAACAATGATCAATGCAAGAACTGGAACTATTATTGACTACTCTTGTTGGTAAATTTATATTTGATATGAATCCATTGCTCTGCATTACAGTGAGGTATTTGTTTACTAATTTGGTATGTTGGAGTATATTAATATTCATATCTCCTATTATGATGTGGTGTGACTGTATGGCATTTTTGTTATCTAACAAAAATTTTCAAGATTTTCTACAATGCATGAGGGTTTGATGATGGTGGTCGATAGACAGATGTGACTTTTACACTTATGTTATTAATTCTCAATATCAAATCCAACACTGTGATACCGTCATCAAATTTAACAAAATCACATCTGTAGTTGATATCATTTCTTACATATACTCGTACTACCACCCCATCATTCTGGTTGTACATACCATTATTGTAAAGCGTATCATAACCTTCCAAACAGAACAAAGATACATCATTAATTTTCCAAGTTTCTGTTAATATTATTATATCAAATTTGTGTCTAATTGTAGTTAGGAAGATATTAAAACAGTCAAAATTTTGGTTTAGGCTTCGTATATTCATGTGATATAAGCTAACATTGAAATTAGAATATTCTAACCATTTATTAAGAGCATTTGCGTCTTGAGCAATATTTGTACTGATATCATTAACCTGAAAATTATTACGTAACTATCCATGTAAAATTTGTAAATGATATGTAGCTCGAAAAACGTAAAAAGAACTAAACGCTCAAACATTATTCTGGATGGATACTGTTTTGAAAATATAAATACGACGGGCATTTTTTTGTCTGTGGGCGAGTGACCAACATCATTATTCTTATTATGCTTAACGTTATAGTTCATACAGTTAAAACATTTTAAAATGTTTACAGTACAAATTTCACTTCTATGTGCTTGTCCACATTTAATGCACATTTCCGCGCCCCTACATTTTTTGTCTGTGTGACCAAACTTCAAGCATTTTCTACACTGCGATATCTGGTTATTGTCATAGACAAATAAGCTTTGCCAACCTAGTAGTATTCTTGATTTCTTGTTGATAAATATGTCTTTATATAGCTCTCCAGAAACTCAGCGAATATAGTATAAGTATTTCGGAATGGTATGTGTCGTACAAAAGTGATTTCGATTTCGTTTTCATTAATGAATATATTTTGGGATATGATTTCTTCTTTAATTCTCTGCTTCTGAGGTTTTTTTTTCAGTTTTGTAGCCTATGATCTTAATTTTCGGTCTCATTTCTCTTGCTCCTGATATATTGTATTTTCCCTTCAACTTAGTTTCTAGTTCATTTTGAGTTTCTGGTAATAACATTGCTCAACTTGAATTTCGACGCCGCTGTTTTTATAATTATTTACTTTCTCTATCTTGACTTCAATACTTGCTAGATTAATGTTATTAGTTAGGTCTTTTCTGGTGTCATTATAATGTTGGGTCCTTTCGGGAGTAACTAATATGGATTTCATGTCATTGTTGTTCTTGTTGTTGCTATTGATTTTAGGAGTATTTTGCTTTAAAATTTGTGAGTATGATGTATTTTCTGACGTTCTTTTCTCAAGTTGTTCTAGTTGATCAGTTACAATAGCCAAAGTAGATACAACGGACTCCTTCTCTACTATGTTGGCAGAAAACAAGTCGTATCCTTCCTGTAGTCTACGGTTTTCATTTACCAACTGATATATGAATCTTTCCTTTTCTTCCAAAAGCTGTTTAAGATAATGATTCTCTTTGACACTAGTTTCTTTGGTACTCTTTTCACTTACGCTAATTTGAATATTTCGTTCTATAATTTCGTTTTCGCATTCATTTTTCTTCTTTTTGGTCATATTGCATATGAACACTCCTTATATCAATTTCTCATAAAGTTCACTTTGACAGAATGAGTTTGTCAACAATTGTCAATTTGGTATTACAAAGCAATTGTCGTATACAAAGAAGCTAATACATACTTGGTTGCATAGCCTTTATTTTGATAACTGCTAGACATCTTTTTCTCATAGAACCAATTAGGCTATCTATTGTTTCTTTGGAATAGAATTCCAGGCGACTTCGATCGTTTCAAATAGTTCGGCACTATTTTTGAACTTTTCTGGATGTTCAGTCCGAATTTTTTTATCAACTAAATCCCATAGGTTCTATATGGAGTTAAGGTCTGGACTCTGAGCTGACCACTTAATGACATTAATATTGTGATCTGCAAAAAATGTTTTTATTATATTCGCTGTGTGCTTGGGGTCGTTGTGGTGCTGGAACCGCCAGCGTAGAGGCATGTTTTTTCTGCGTAAGGTAGCATGGTATCAGTTAATAATTCCAAGTACTTGTACCGGTCCATAATTCCTTCAATTTTGACGACGGGTCCCATTTGAAGACCACAGAAGCAACCCCATACTTGAACCTTCCCGCCTCCGTGTTTGATTGTGCCCAAAGTGAACTTAGGATCAAATCGCTTGTTTTTAGGACGTCTTACCCATAAAATGCCATCCGATGAAAATCAATTAAATTTACCTTCATCAGAAAATAATGCAGAATTCCACCTTGCTTCTGACCAGTTCAAATGATCGTAAGCAAATTGAAGACGGGCGGTCCGATTTTTATGGAAATAAAGGGTTTTTTAGATGGTTTCCCTGCTGGTAAATCTCCCTCCCTTAAACGTCGTCGAACAGTGTGGACACCAATATTTACTTCTTTAAGTTGAGCTTTTATGTCCACAGCAGTAGTACATGGATTTTTAAGAGCAAGTGTTTTAATTTTCCTATCAATCCTAGGTGTAGTTTTTCGCGGTCTACCAGTCTTAGGAGGGCTTACCAACGATTTTCTGAGGCGGAACAGTTTAATAGCTTTGCAAATTACCGATCGGCTTAAATTCAGCTGTTTGGCTATGGTTGCTTGTTTAATGCCTGATAGATATTTCAAAATAATCAATTTTTTTATTTGCAAATTCAATGTACTTCCTCTGGCCATGTTTTTGAACTACACTTTACCAAACACATTCAAAAATAACACCTATTCTACTCAACGACTAAATATAAACTAAATATTTACAAAATGTTTCTCTACTTTTGCTCGTTCAACAAAGAACCGGCCATATTGAAAAAAAAAGAATGTATACAAAGATAAGCATTTCATTATCTTAACGTAGTCATATATAAAAAACTTTAGTGTACAGTTTTAGGTTAGAGTAAACCTTTCAGAATATTTATTTGTAATGTGGTTTGTTCCTCTACTTTTGCTCGGTACTGTACATACGTACTTCCTGCTCTTCTCATGTGTGTAGGCAACCGACGGTTTATTGGTTAGTCTCATACATTAGTTTAAAACTTGGTACATCTCAGGCTCAAGCAATGAAAGTGCAAAAGGGTCCTATGCATCTGACTTACACTAAATTACAGTAGCCGTCCTGTGAACAGATATAAAGTAAATAAATAATGTTTATTTCCTCTTTAGACAAGAGGTATAGGAATATAGCCAAATAACTGACAGTCTGTATAACATAAACATCACATTACAAGTAGGTACAAACTATAGCAGTCGAACCTAGTATAAAAGTCATCAGTCCGGTTCGCTCATTTTCTCCACGTGAAACAGCTGTAGGCGGCTAGAAGTGGCTCTGCCGGCTTTTTCCCCCAAAATTGCATTTCGATAATTTTTAATGTGTTAACACCTAAGGATGGTTTCCGTCGTTATCAATAAACGCAATGTGTCCGTCCTTTTGGTTTTATATTTGTAACAAGTGCTCTCATCCACGCCTTCGTTTTGAAACACCATTTGGCTGCAACCTCAGCGTCGAGTAAGTTGTCTGATAAGTTAAACCCTTCCCGTATTGATTGCTAGCTTCATATTTGTGTTTTCAGCTCCTGAAGATGGCTCCATAGAAAAGCCGACAGCTCAAGATTACCGTTCAAAGAGTTTACTACAGCCTAAAAAAATTTTGCTAACTTCTCAATTAACAGTTGATTGTATTTATATATATATACCTATACAATACCTGTCTGAACAAAATTATTACGCACAATTAACAATTATCAGTCCTGTTAGGGTTGCAAGAACGTCTACGCAGTATTCTTTGCACAGCATTGGCATAGAACTCAACTTTTGTCAACAATACAACCATTCTATTACTACCTTTTGAAATCCTATCTGTCCAACAGTAAGCTGTTTGTGGAATTCAAGAGATCCAAATCTCAAAAGTGTACGCCAACATCAGGTGTTCTACAGGGATCATCGCTAGGACCACTTCTTTTTATCATATTTATCATTGACATTTGTGACGTTATTGATTGCAAATATCTCTTATATACCGATGATCTTAAATTTATACTCAGGTTAGCAACAGCACTGATTGCGAACGTCTCCAAGATAATCTCAACAGAATAATGATTTGGTGCGATAATAATAACCTATCCATGAATGCGTCCAAGTGTACCAGCGTGACTTATACTAAGTGACATATAAATCCGAACACCCAGTATAAATGGTTTTATTTTAATAAAAGTTGGTGAATGTATTTATCTTACTGTAAATAACAAGTGAAAAAATGTTCAGCCTTATCAGTTGGACATTCCGGTTTTTATACTGCTTTTTTTTAATTCACTACCGCTCTAAAAATGAATATTTCAGCCGCAGTAAAGAATCAACGTTGGCGGATTTTGGTTTTCGACATCCTTTACGATCGGTTACGACGCCTAGAGTACGGAGACCTGTACGATTTCGTCAACTTAGTGAGTTTGATAGGGGCCGTATAGTGGGACTTCGGGAAGCTGGACTTTCTTTTCGGGCAATTGCAATTAGAGTGCAAAGAAGTGTAGACACTGTGGTTAGGTGTTGCCAGGCATAGCTTCCAGAAGGCCGTACGCAAAGAGCAAGGGGCACTGGACGCCGCCGTAGAACAACAGACCGTGAAGATCGCCGCCTAAGATTATTGGCCTTAAGGGACCGTTTCTCCAGTACCAGGTCCATTGCAAATGAATGGTTTGCAGAACACGGAAGACCTATTGGCATGCGAAGTGTTTACCGACGAATGAGAAGTTTTGGCTTGTTTTCATACCGGCCACACTGGGTCCTCCCTTTAACTCGAGAACACCGACGTAATCGCCTTGAGTGGTGCAGACAACGGTCACTCTGAGATCAGGAATGGAACAGAATTGTCTTTAGTGACGAGTCTCGATTTTGTTTAGGCATACACGATGGTCGTGCCGGGGTTAGAAGGCGACGTGGTGAAAGGAGGAATCCACAGTTTTTTGTTGAAAGACACGTTCATCACACTGTTGGAGTTATGGTTTGGGGTGCTATAGCTTATGGTTCCAGGTCACCTTTAATCTTCATCAGAGGGAACATGAACGCGCAGCGTTATATCCACGAAGTTCTAGAACCCCATCTTTTACCCTATCTTGACACCCTGGCAGATCCAACTTTCCAACAAGATAATGCCCGACCACATGTTGCAAGAGTCACAATAGACTTCTTTCAACATAATGATGTCACATTGTTACCATGGCACACCAAGATCTCCCGACTTATCCCCAATTGAGCACGTGTGGGATATGATGGGTAGGAGATTGCTCAATTTGCAACGTCCTCCTCAGACTCTAGAAGCACTTCGAGAGGAGTTGGTGGTTGCCTGGAATGAGATGCCACAGGAGGACATTGACCACCTGATCAGAAGCATGCCTAGGCGCGTTGGAGAATGCGTAGCACATCAGGGTGCATCCACACATTATTAAAGGTCAAAGGGCTTTAAAGCAGTGCAATTATTTTGAAATTTTTATTATTTACTTATTATGCTTCATTAAGTACTTATACAAAATTTTATTAAAATAAAACCATTTAAACTGGGTGTTCGGATTTATATGTCACTTAGTATATTCCCGAAAACAACGCTCCATAGAATATCATTATAAGGTTAATCAAACAACGCTGCCAAATCTAAGAGAATTCAAAGATCTTGGAGTCACCTTTGACACAACCCTCAGTTTCAATCCGCATATAAATTACCTTCTAAGTTCTGTAAATAAAAGTCTGGGTTTTGATTTGCGCAACTCTCGTGATTTTGACAGCATAAATGCTCTACTCATGCTGCATAATGCATTTGTAATGTCAAAACTTGACTACGCTAGAATTATTTGGAATCCCTGCTATGTGACGACTTGTGACTCAATAGAAAAAATACAACGCAAGTTTCTGAAATATCTGTCCTACAGGATAGATGGTATCCATCCAGAAATAGGTGTTCCTCAAGATGTATTATTAAAGAGGCACGGTATGCTAAGCTTAGACCACAGAAGAAAAATGCACTCACTAATATTCTTATTCAAGGTTATTCACAACCAATATGACTGTCCGGATATTCTAAGTCGCCTGTCATTTAATATACCAAGATGTCTCACGAGAAACATCCTAACGTTTTATTTACCAACCCGCAGGACCAACTTACTGCTGCATTCTCCGCCATATTCCATGTGTACCTGCTTAAACAATCTACAAAACAGAATTGATATATTTAATACAAATGTGACCTCTATTAAGATCCTCTTCAAATCTGTTATATAATTGTGTAGTTTTGTGACTGTTATATTTCTTATACAGGGTTATCCAAATTAAGTGTCCACCATTAGTAACTTTGTTATTAGTGAAAATACAAAGTTGTTTGAATTAGCAAACTAGTAGCATTTTTAACGCTGGTAAAAATGAGAAATAAAAAAAAAACAATTGAGAGTCGTTATTTTGATTTTTTTCAGTAAAATAACATTTTTTTAAATGGAAACCCCTGTATATTATATTTTTTTCTGTTAAAGCATCAAATTTTAAACAAAAAAGCTTACAATAACTTTTCTCCTAGGTTACAAATTGTTGAAGTTATGGCCTCCAATCTGAAACAATTAAATTGTATCGACAAACTTTATTTTCAACATCAACTTATAATCTTACAAAATACAATAACAATTTTTTTTAAAGAAGATGCTCGAAAACACCACCTTGTTCTTCAATACATTTTTGGGCACGTTTTTCAACTGCTCGAACTGTCTTAAGTATGGTCCTACCATCTATCTGGGTTATCTTTTCCCTAACTGCAGTCTTTTCTCTTGACCAATAATGGTGGTTTTTTCTATTAAACATTCCAGAATGTGAAAAATTTGATTCATCTGTCCATAAAAGGTAACGAAAGTTATTTACATTTTGGCGACAGAAGCTAAGATACCAATGGCAAAAAACAAGTCTTCTCTCTGGATCCCCTGCCAAAAGCGTTTGAACTGGTCGGTACTTATACGGAATAAATTTGTATTTTTTTAAAATCCTTTGAACAGTACCATAACTGAAATTAGAGTCCTTGAGAATATCTGCTATTGAATTCTCACGATAAGCTTCAAAATATCCAATAACTGCAATTTCCGTGGCCTCGCTTATTATGAATTCTTTTTTGCCCTTGTTTTAGCAAAAACATTTTCGTTGCCCCTAAATTTTCGATAAAGTCTCAGAAAATATCGTTCATACGGTTGAACGCGAGCGGGATATAATTCATTGCTCTCAAGGAGGATTTTCTGCACACTAAATAGCATTCTAACATATCACACTTTTCTTCATGGGAGAACATTTTTCTTTAAATTAATGACACAATAAAGCTTATAAACAAGTATTTACACTAATGTTTGACATTATTTGATTTTATCATTGTTTTCCAAAGCCTTCTAGTTGCGAGTATGTCCAGTTTAACAATTTGTCGCTTATCTTAATGCTGTCAAATCGCGAACGCCATGTTGTTTTCATAGCCGTCTTAATATTATAATACTGCAAATAATTAAAAATATTTATCGTTATTTTGACTTTATTTTTGACTTTAGCGGAAAAGTCATTATGAACTTTTTTGTTTAAAATTTGATGCTTTAACAGAAAAAAATATAATATACAGGGGTTTCCATTTAAAAAAATGTTATTTTACTGAAAAAAATCAAAATAACGACTCTCAA